CAGGTAGGTCACTTACCCTCTGCCTGGCCAGGTCACAAAGCACCCCTAGGTGTGCCCAAGCTCCTCTCTGAGGTGGAAGTTTCCGGTTGTGTCATGTGATGCAGATTCACGTGACAAGCCTACAAACCACCCGTTTGCTTTCTCCTCAGCTTCCTCTCCCCCAGCTCAAACTCTACCACCTTCTCTGAGAAGCCTCCGTGGCAGTGCTGTACCTCCTAATTCCTTTGACCTTCAACCTCTAGTCTTCCCTACCAGCCTCTACCCCTAGGGAAAGCGGCCACTGCCCACCCTCCCCTCCAGTCCCCACAGGTCTCAGCCCAGGGCGGCTCCCAGTGGCTCTTCCACTGGCACATGTGGGTTGAATCCTACCACTCGGAAAAAGTAATGACAGCAGCAGCCACCCTTCCCTGGCCACAACCACAGGACCAACCGTGACATCCACCGTTTGTCACAGACTGTCCTTCCGACTGAGGCCTGGGTAAGGTGTCTGTGTGCTGAAGGTGACCATGCCATGGTAGGCAATGCTGAGATTCGAACCACACTTTGCCTGACTTAAAAATGTGTTCCAGGCCAGGGGCTGGAGAGACGGCTCAGCAGCCAAGAGCTCTGGCTGCTCTTCCAGAAGACCCAGGTTTGATTCCCAGCACCACATGGTGGCTCACAACCATCTGCAACTCCAATTCCAGGGGATGCGACATCCTCATGGACCCGGCAGGTACCAGGCACACAGACAGTGCACAGATGTTCATGGAGGCAAAACATACAGACACATAAAATGAAAAAAATTAAAGAGTTGAAATTCAATAAATACATAAATAAATAAAAATAAAAGAGGCAGGGGTGGTAGAGGTGCACGCCTTTAGGCCCAGCACTTGGGAGACAGAAACAGGTGGATTTCTGTGAGTTTGAGGCCAGCTGGTCTACAAAATGAGTTACAGGACAGCCAGGGCTACAGAGAAACCCTGTCTCAAAAAAACAAAAACAAACCCCAATGACAACCAAAAAATTAATAAATGATAAAGGGGGAGAGGGAGGGAGGGAGGGAGGGAGAGAGAGAGAGAGAGAGAGAGAGAGAGAGAGAGAGAGAGAGAGAGAGAGATATCTGGGTTTAATCCCAGAACTTGTGAGTTCAAGGCTACACAGTTCCAGGTCAGCTAACGCTGCATAGTGAGACCTTGTCTTAAAAAAAAAAAAAAAAAAATGTGTCTAGAGAGAGCATGGAGTCAGTCACCCCAGTGCCACTGTGCCAATATCCCCCTATGTGTAAAGAGATCTCACAATACAAACGTGCTGTACTGGGAACCCCATTGCTGTCCCCTCCCCCTGGGGTGTCTGTGAGCGCCTGTGGGAGTCTAGTTCCTGAGAAGATGCCTCCTTCATGAGGTTGGCTCCAGGTGAAGGGATGAGGGCTGTTTCCCAAACATGCCAGGGGTACAAAGTAGGCATCTCCTTGAACTCTCCTTGGCAAAGGGATGCTCTCAGGGAGGCCAGGCCATAGCAGTCTAGCTTGAGAGATGGCTTCTGGAGGACGTCAGAGTGGCCCATCACTGGGCATGACACACACACACGTGAGTGTCTGTGCTTGGGTGTGAGTGTGCGAGCACGTGCATGTGCCTGTGTAAAGGCTCAGAGGTTCAGTCACCTGCAGAAAGCCAAGAGTGAGCCTGCGTAAAGGAATCACTGAATGGGGAGTAAAATGAGTAACTGGATAAGATGATGATACACAGCTGGGTGGCCAGATGGGGTAGTGGTCAGGGATGCTGGTGGAAAGAGAGGACGGACACCTGAGGAGCAGAAGCATCCATGGGTGGGTGGGTGGAGGGTAGAGTGGAGGTGTAGCTAAGCGGTGGGGTGAGTGGATGGGTATATAGGTTGTGGATGGGTGGGCGGTGGGTAAGGAGGTTAGGTGGGAGGGCATAGGCGGCTAGTCAGCTGGATAAATCAGCCTTTGCAACTGTGAGTGAATGGATCCCCAAACATGTAAGACACAGAGGACTGGGAACCCTGGGCCAGTGAGTAGAGAAATAAACTGGACAGCAATCCAGCCAGACTTTGGAGTTCAAGGAAACATGCTTCCCAGGGAGGGCTAATAGCCGTAGCCTAGCCAACTCACCTAGCCTAACGTTCTCTGCTCTCTACAAAAGGTTGCCCCAAGTGGGAAGTCCCCATCTCAGCCTGTGTCTCCACCCCACCTCCCTACCTTCCTAGAGAGTTCTACCTTCCACGAGAGCTCCCTGCTCAGACACACTTTCTTCCCATAAATTCCCATCCCAGTCTGTAAGGGTGAAGTCAGGGCAGCTGAGCCCTGAGAGTATACAGCCCTAGGGTTTGGTGCCTTTAGTACAGGAGAATCCCAGGCAACTCTTGTCAGCAGCAGCTCCCCTTCCCTTCCCCAGCTGGGAGCCATTTGTTCTGCATCCTGCATGGTAATTAGGGCTCTGGGAGAGTTAACCCCTGCACTCCTGGTGCAGCCTTAGAGGCAGACAGGAGACTTGAGAAAATCAGAAGAAGAGAAAGACACCAAAAAGTGGGGATCCTCGCCCCTGACTAGTGGATCCTGAGACTCTTCTTTTCCTTCCATTTTCCAGAGGAAACGGAGTCAAGACTCTTCAATCAGGAGTGGGACCAGGAGCAAGGAATGCAGCCTACATGGAGATAGACTTAACCTAGAGACAATTTACAAATGTGAGCAAGGGCCCCTCTCACCCTCAGTTTCCCCATCTGTAAAATGGGAAAAGACTGTCTGCCTCCAAGATTGCCACAGCACCAGCTGGGAGAGAGGGAGTACCTGGAATCTGGTCCAGAGGTTGGGAGGCTCTGAACCACCAAGCCAAGGTACAAATGGCTCCAGAGTGGAGGAGAGTGAACACTTGTATCCAGACAGCTTTCTCAGTTGACTATGGTGGTGCAAGCCTTTACTCCCAGCCAGAGCCAGGGGCAGACAGAGCTCCGTGAGTTCAAGACCAGCCTAGTCTATATAGTGAGTTCCAGGCTGCTGCGAAGCTCTATCCATAGTGAGATGTTGTCTCAACAAACAACACAAAGACAGCTTTCTGGGCCACCTCTCTGGGCTTGCGACACACCCTTAGATATGGTAAATGCCTACCCTGGAGCTAGACCCATTTTAAAGAGAAGTCTACCCTGTGCTCATAGCTCACCTGGCACTCTGAGTCTTTGACGCTGAGCCAAATATTCTGAGCTGCTCCAGGAACCCTGACTGGAGGGATAAGTTGTTTTCCAGCCAACCAGAATACCTTTGAGAGCAAAAGCAAGGGGGTATTGCTAATCACATTGGGACACTGATGCTCTCAACAAACAGGAAATGTGGTCATCCTGCCAAAGGAGGGGGGCCTGGACAAGTCACTTCACTCTTTTTGTAAAATGAACATGATGACAGAATTGTCCCTACAGGGCTGTCACAGAGATTAAATGTGATTATGCATGGTATGCATTAGGTGCTCAATCTGAGAGATTTTTAATTACACCTACTCAGGCACAGGCACCTGGCCATAGTTAAATACCCAGGCTCTGGCCCAGGTCTCTCCACAGTGTTCCACCCTCCTTGTTCAAGAGTTTCTGTGCCTCTGAGTCTTTGGGACACTGTTCCCAATTTCCCTAGGCAGCCCTGGGGGAAAGATCTGAAACTACCATATCTCAGTCTTATCTGCATGCCACTGGTGTCCTTTGTGCCTCAGTTTCTTCATCTATCCAGTTGGAAAAAATGGCTCATCGCCTGTCAGCTAGCCTGAGGATTTAGAGTGCTGATCCTGAAGCCCAGCGTTCTGTGTGTGAGCAGGAAGACCCCAGAGCTTGTCTCCTCCATCTCCTGTCCTCATGGCTCCTCACCCCTGCGGGACAGTACTGCCCAGCTCCCTCCCTGCCTCAGAGCTCGAAGCCTTTGCCCACAGTCTGTCCAGTGTGAACTTTCTAGGCCTTCCGCATCTCTAAGACTTGATCCGGTTTCTGTCTCCTTCGGGAACCTTGCTCAATACCCCACTCACAGACTACCTTAGGGACATGTCCTGCCATACATGCCCCCAGGATTCCTGTCTGTCCTCACAGAAAAATCAGAGGGTATCAGAGGGTACATGATGTAGGGGCCAGGATCTGTCTTCTCTCCTTGAGCAAGGCCAGCTTTGTGCCTTCTTTGAAGTAGGGGGCCCTCACTAAAGGTTTCTAAGGTGTGACCTCACTTACCTGTTCAGCAACTCTCGTAGTTGTTAGAGCTGGGAACAGGAGATAATGTAATATCTGATATCTGGTTTGATAACTCCACTTTAGTAGGGGTGTGTGTGTGTGTGTTCTGGGAACAGAATTTCCATTCTCTGGAAGAGCATGACGCACTCTGAACTGCCAAGCCATCTCTCGGGCACCATGAGGGAAACTGAGGCACTTGAAAAGAGGAGCAAGGGCCATCCCAGTTTTGGGGTCCATGAGATTATCACAGGTTACACTACACCCCTCCACATGACGGTCAGCAGTAATGGCCTCTTCCCCAGAGCAGCTCAATGCTCTGCTAGCACCCACCGGGCTTGTATTGGGTTGCCAGGAATGGGGGCTGGAGAAAATGGGAAAGAGTGAATGCCCCACACTTTAGAAAAACAAAACAAAACAAAACAAAAAAAAATCCAATGAGTCTTCTGGCCAGTTCTTCCTGCTCCAGCAGAGAAAGGCTGGAGGCCCAGGAGGCCCAGGACAGAGCTGTCAATCCTGGACTCCCCGAGGTCATCTAAGGAGCAGTGGGCAGCAAAGAGTCCCAGTGGCCTCCTCTGGGCAGTCCGGGCTCAGGACAGAGCGAACATTCCCGAGGTCGCCCCGCCTAGGGGCGGTGGGCAGGGGCCTGGCCTGGCTTGGCATCCCCGCCGCGCCACTGCAGCCCTCGCGGCGTGGCCAGCCAGGGAGGGGGCGCGGCCGCCGCGGGCGGAGCAGGGGCGGAGGGAGCCCGTAGCCCGCCCCCGCCCCGGGATCTGGCGGCCGAGCCCGCGGCCAGGGCGGCGCAGACCGGCCCAACGACTCTCGGGCAGCGCAGGGACGCGCCGCCGCGCCCGCCCCTGGACCCCCGGGGCTCGACGACACGAGGTAATCTTGGGCGCGGGCCGGGGGAGTGCGTACTGTCCTGGGCGCGGACGGCGCGCGGGGCCAACCCGTAGAAGGCTGGGACGTTCAGACTTCTCGGGTGGTTTTGTCACGTTGCGGGAGGGCTCAGGGCACCCAGACCGGAGGGTAGCGCGGTATACTGGGACGGGAGCGGAGGAGCCCAGGGCCGTCTGCGGCATTCCTGCGCGGGCAGCGGAAGGGAAGGGACCCCATGGCCTCTCGGCGACGCCAGCGCGGGAGCGGGAAGCTGGGGGGTTGGGGGGACGGACGATGGGGACAGGGCACCCTGCCCCCTCCCCAGCTGCATTCCAGGCTGGAGCAGCGGATGAGGTCATCCCGTCCGGTTCCCTTCTGGACACGGCAGCCGCTGCCCTCTGCCCGCGCCGGACGGGATCGAGAAACTCTCCCAAAGTCTCCCTTATGAGGTCCCCAGAAGGGAATGTTTCCTGGTTGAAGTCTTTCCTGGACTTCCTATTCCAACTGATTCTGCGCTTGTCCCAACTATGCAAGGCTGGCCCAAGTTTGAAGGCCGTTTTCTAGACCGGGAAACTGAGGCTGAGAGAGCATGCTGGAGTGGGGGGCTGCTTAGCCTTAACTTGGGGTGCTGGGGCAAGACGACGTCTTAGTCGGTAGTGTCATACAAGTTGATACTACCACTATTTGGGAAACTGAGGCAGGACGGTCACAATTTCGAGGTCAGCCTGGGCCATATATATATATACCAAGCCCTTGTCAACAATAGTCCCCTACATCTCCCCTCCCACTTTCCGAGTGTCGCCCTCCTATCCTACCCGCAGTGAAGTTCAGAGAAGCCTGATCCGGGACAGTGACTCTGGGCAGCTCGCCTTAGTTTCCCTGTCTTCCATCCCAAAGTGCTGGGCTTTGAGGGTATGCCCCTGGAGGACTTCTAATCCCAAACATCACAGATTGGGGAAAATACGAAGCAACAGAACTCCACAGTTCAGTGTTGATATCTAAGAGCCAGGGTCCCGGCACCTCCCCACCTGCGCCCCCAGTAGGCTGCCCGTGGGGCTCTGCACACCTGCCCGAGGGCGTGTCTGGGTACTCCAAGGACCAGTGCCTCTGCTCACCCACCTCTTCCCCACCGTCGGAGGGGCTTCTCTTACCCCACTTCCTTGCTTCCACATCCACCTCGTTGGCCTCTTGAGTGAGTGGAGCCAGCCAAACCCCCCAAACTTGTCCCTGTGGTCATTACTACTGAGGGAGCCCTGGCCATGTGCCCAGACCATTGCAGAGTAAATGTAAGAGCTCTTTGGGATACTGCGGCCTCACCGTGGCCACTCATGCCCTGGTCACCGATGCCGACGGACGTGCAGAGCCTGGATCCCATCCCTCTCATGCTAGCTTCCCCTTAGCTACCTTCCCTCAGAGGGGCAAGGCCGTTCTGCCGGTGTTGGTAGACTGTAAGCAAGCTCCAGGGTTCACGCTGGTTTTGTTCTGCGATCTGGATCCCCCCTCCCCCATGTAAAATGGGGGATGTGAGCATTTACAGGGGGTATTTCCTGGGCCTTTGAGAAGAACGGTCCCAGTACCTCGACATCCAGGTCAGGTGGGGCGACATAAGGGCCAGCAACAGTCTGTGGTTAGCGCCACGGGGTGGATGGCTGGAATAAAAGATGCCCCTTACTCATGCAATGGTAGACTTGAACCCAGGCCTGCCCTGCTCCGGGATGGGAGAACTGAGTTTCTCCATCTCCTGCCCCCTCCTCCCTTCTCCGGCAGAGGCTCTTCCTTGCTTTCTCCATAGGAAGATAGAAACAGAAGCTGAAATTAAGCCTCAGGAGATGAGTGTAGGGATGCTATCTAGAGGTGGCCAGAGGCATGTGGGAGGTGGCTTCATCACAGGTTGGTCAGGGGGTGAGATGGGGACAGGACCCCTCTCCCTGGAAGAAACTCAGAAATTAGAGGATTTGGGTGGGGGAGGGCACGTGTTCACATGGTAAACACAGTTGACCCACGTGCCATTTTTGCAGAGTGAGCCCTATGCAACTCCACAACTCCCTTCCTCCAAAGACTAGTTTTTATAGGGCTGGAAACCTGGCCAGCCTTTACCTGCCACGGGACCTTGGCTGAGTCTGTTCCTTGGCCGAGTCAGCCTTTGTAGCCTGAGCCAGCCTTCCAGCCTCAAGGGGGTGTTGGAGACTCATCTGATGACATCACGTCATTGGTCGGCCAACAGCAAAGCAGAGTGCTTTATAACTTCAGCAAACATTCCACGAGGACCTCTCGGTGCTGGGGGTGCCAGGGAAAGGGATGATTCAGAAGTCGTCCCCCCCCCAGGGAGGGGGAGGAGCTAGGGTTGGAGGAGGATCCGGTGGTAGGACGGAAGGGAATGCAGTCTCAAAACAAAGCGAGCTTTGTCCAGTTCTCCTCTTTGTTTTATCTTGTTAGTTAACCTATTTTGAATTTCAAATAACATTATAGAAGGGCCACACTGAGAATTTTTATACTCGGAGGCAGCAGCTAGGGCTGAGAAAATTGAAAAAAACAACAACTAAACCAAACCAAAGTTGAAACTCGGGTCTAGATCTTTATCAGCTGAGCAGGTGTGTGGAGGTGACTTGGCCAAGGTCACAGGGTGAGGACTCTGAGTCCCCAGCCTACTCTATCCCCTCAGAAGGTGCCAGGGGGTGGTCCTTTGGCTGAAGGTTATCTCAGCGAGTGATTAGGCTGGCCACGTGCTCTCCCTGTGAGGGAGAGAGGCAGGAAAGTCCAGGCACCGCCTCACCCTCAATGCTCAGGGAAACAAGACCGGGCCCCAAAAGCCGGTGAGGGCTTAAGTGAGTCAGAGGCTCCGAGTTCAAGTTGGGACTAGCTTTTGGGTGGGATCTTGAGCAAGCGTGGCCCTCACTGGGTCACAGAAAATCAGAGTTCAGTCTATAGGATCCCAAATGCTCTCCAACCCCATAGGGAAGGAGAAAAGAGGACATAGAGGGACCAGCCGAGAAAGTAGGACAGCAGAGGAACCATGAGGGACCAGAAAGGACATTGGTAGGTACGGAGTAGCCTTTGGCACCCACAGGACTCCTCCCTGCCCCCAAAACTTGTTCCCCAACAACAAGGCTCCTATATCAACCTGACAAACAGATAAAGCCCTTTCCTGCGGGCCTTCTCAGAGCCTTGAGTCAGCTCAAGCATGCAGGAGCCAGCTGGAAAAAGCCACTTGTGACCACAGGATCCCTTTTCCAGGAAGCACCTTGAAGGCAGAGGCTTCTGAGGAACGTCAGTACTGGCTGGCTGCAGGGCAGGCTGTGTACACAGCCATTCACAAGACCTTGGCAGGACGCCTCCTTTCTCCTGACCTCCCCGGGTAGAATAGATTTGAGCCCACAGAGAACTGAAACTTGCCAGCAAGAGGCGATATTGTCTGGGGTCCAGGGTCGCTGGGATGGGGAGCCCAATTGCCTTATTCCTCAGAGAAACCACAGGCACTAAGTCACTAGAGTTTCTCATTCCTGCTGTAGTGCTCCTTCGGGTCTAGAGTCCGAGTCGTCTGACTTATGCAGGAGAGCCGTTGACACCTCACCTGCAGCCCTTAGGTAGAGATCAATCATTTTTCTGCTTCGCTGATGCCTGCTATGAACTCAAAACAGAATGGAGTCTTTGTGCCTCATCTTCCTCGCAATGGTACTCAGAGGCGGCCGTCCACTCTGCCTGTTCTCAAACTCTGGTGTGCGCTTGTGTGGGTGTGCACGTGTCCAGGTGCTCACATACAGAAGCCAGTGGAGGACATTGGATGCCCTGTTCTGTCACTCTCCCTCAGTCCCTGGAGACGGAGTCACTAACTGAACCTGAAACTTGTGGTTTTGTTTGGTTGCTGTTTTTAAAAAGCTGCACTACCTATAATCCTCCTGTCTCCATCCTTCTCCCCCCAAACACTGGAATTGCAGGCACATGCAACTATGCCCAACTTTTACATGGGTATTGGGGAGCAAAACTCAGGTCCTCAGGCTTGCTCAGTGAGGATTCCGTCGTCGTGGGCCCCCCCCCCCCCGTCTTTCTTGAACTTCCTACTCAAGCACTGCAGATCCTCCTTTGTGTGTTCTAATCAGGATCTGTGTGTCGTTGGGCAGCCTCGTTTGTTCTCTCAGTGACTACTGTTTGGACTCGGATTTCCTCTTCTGCTGCCATACCACAATGCTGTCTTTCTGCCCTTCCAGGTCTCCACTCCAGGGCAGGGACCACACTCTTTTAAGGCCCTTCTCCCTGCCGCCTTTGATCAGCCTCACCAGGACCGCAGCAGGGCCTCTGGGAGAGAGAACCGATAGGCTTCCTCAGCCTCAGCACTGGGGACAGCGCCTTAATAGAGTCAAGGGTTGCCTTCTACTCCAGCTTCATCGAGCGGAAGGGGCTGAGAAGGATACCCGAGCCCAGCCTGCCATCTTCCCTGGCCCCAAGGTGGCATGAACTAGCGATTGTAAGCAACCAGCGCTGATGCCCGGCCCCCAGGGGGGCACAGGAGCCCCCACTATGAGCCTGGGCAAGCTGTCTCCTGTGGGATGGGTGTCCAGTTCCCATGGAAAGAGACGCCTGACAGCAGACATGATCAGCCCCCCACTTGGGGACTTCCGCCACACCATGCACGTGGGCCGTGGTGGGGACGTCTTTGGCGACACCTCCTTCCTCAGCAACCATGGAGGCCGCTCTGGAAACACCCACCGATCACCCCGAAGTTTCCTGGCCAGGAAGCTCCAGCAGGTGCGCCGAGTTGGGGTGCCACCTCGAAGGATGGCTTCCCCGGCTGCACAGTCACCCGCTCCACCCCCCATCTCACCCATCATCAAGAATGCCATCTCCCTGCCCCAGCTCAACCAGGCCACCTATGACAGCCTGGTGGTGGGCAAGCTCAGCTTTGACAGCGCTCCAGCTAGCTCCACGGATGGCCACTCGGGTTATGGTGAGGAACTGGGTTTACCATCTCTTTTCTACTGTTGAGATTCAAGCTTGGAGAGATTCTACCAAGCCTCCATATCAGCCTTTCCCCACAGCTGTCTAATCTCCCAGTGGAAGTCTGGCCCCCCAGTCTAGGCCAAGGGTGAGAGGGATGGGCTTATGGAGATGGAGTGTCAGCCTGCTTAGGCCTTATAACACAGATGCTGAGGTAGAAATGGTATTCACATCTAACAGTTCTGCCTCTCTCTCTCTCTCTCTCTCTCTCTCTCTCTCTCTCTCTCTCTCTCTCTCTCTCT